CATCACCCCCCCCCCCCTTTCCATTTCCAGTCCTTTTAAGACGCCTCTTGAGAACTTAAAGCGTCTTCCAAAAATATAAAAAGACACAAACTCTAACTGAATTTCAAGGCATTTAAAATCCTATCCCAAAACATTAGTGCATTTGCAAGAATTCTGTGCTTTAACCTCAGCTCAGCCTCAATGTTTACCTAGTTCTTTTCTAATGTGATCAAGTAATTGCTGGCTCAGCAGAAACTCGTTAAAACCTCTTTAAATAAATTAAGAAAAGTCGTTAACAAAAAGTGGACAATATACAAAGGTATCGGTGTCAGGACCCGTCTCGTGTCTATATCTATAAATTAAATGCTCGAGTACTTTTTGTTACAATATGGGCCTTAAAAGGTCGCTGAGAAGACTTCGATTACTTTCAGCTCACCCGGAGTTACTGGAACTGAAGTCAGCTACAGCAACGGTGGTACTCACCCGCTCGCGCGCGCACGGCACGTGCAAAAACCTGATATGGAACGCGCGTGCTGTGACGTCAGCACGCGCGAGCTAGGTATGCATGATAAACTAGGACGTAGGTTTTCACTCTGGCAGCACTCTTCAGCTAGGCCCGGTCGGGAAAGACTTGCTTCCCTGTGTGTGAGCTTCTGTGTTGGACCCATCTTGATAACCTCTCCAAACGTGAGTGTTAGACAGGACTTGAGTGTGATTTCTTCTGTAGATATATAGATCTAGTCTTTTTTACGTCAGACTTTGTACTCGAACTAGATTCTACAGCGTTTTCGGTTTGTTTGAGACAAACTGTAGTAAGTGTATTATAAATTAATGTGGACTTGATAAACTTCTGGCGTTTTCTTGTTATTCTATTGGAATGCCAAGGTCGGAGCTGTAATTTACAAAGACTCCAAATTTTAAAGCATGTTGTCTCATAACTTTCTCATTTAAAGAAACTTTTAAAAAGGCCAACTATTCTTTTTTTGTTTTGTCAAGTGTAAAAGGAGGACACTCAAGGCTAAATATCATGGTTTCGTCTAAAACCTTTTGCTCCGTTGATATGAATTTTAGAAATGCCAACTCCCTGTACCCCCCCTCCCCCAACTTTCTTTCTCTTCACTCTCTCTCTCTCACTCTCTCTCTCTCTCTCTCTCTCTCTCTCTATCTATCTATCTATCTATCTATCTATCTATCTATCTATCTATCTATCTATCTATCTATCTCCCTGTCTATAATATTATTAGTGTCAGTGTATCTGCATGTCTCTTTCGACATCTCTCCCTCCCTCAACACCCATCCTCCTTCCTTCTCGCTCTCTGTCTCTGTCTGTGTCCCTCTCTCTCTCTCTCTTTCTCTCTCTCTCTCTCTCTCTCTCAACCCTCTCTCTCTCTCTCTCTCTCTCTCTCTTTCTCTCTTTCTTTCTTTCTCTCTCCCCTTAACAAACTGACAGAAAAAGTTATCTGTTTTAAATCTATGTGAATGTGTACTTGCTGCGCGACATAGATCTATATATATATGTGTTAATGTTTGAAATTCGTCTATCATTCTACAATCAGATTCTCTTACTTCATCATCCTCTCTTCATCTTTGCCGCACTTCAAAGATCAAAACTTATGCATGCCTTCGAAATAAAAACACGTATGCAAAAGTCATTACAAAGAAGTCATGATCATTACTGGCCTGTGTTTACCTATCTATTTATCTATCTATCTGTCTATCTATCTATCTATCTGCCCGTCCGTCCGTCCGTCCGTTCGTCTATCTATCTATCTATCTATCTATCTCTCTATCTATCAATCTATCTCTCTATCTATCTATCTATCTATCTATCTATCTATCTATCTATCTATCTATCTATCTATATATCTATCTATCTATCTATCTATCTATCTATTGATCGATCTATCAATGAATTTCAATCTTTAACAATGTGTTTGTATATTTTTCAGTGTATGTATGTTGGGAGGGGGTGTGTTTGTGTGTATGTATGTGTGTGTGTATTTAAGTCGTTTTGTCTGTCCCCTTGTTGCATTTTCCCCTCCACCGTGTGCATGTACAATAAACAAACACAAAAGTTTATACTCCACCCCCCCCCCTCCCCCTGTTATACAAAAACACCCTCCATACAGTAGTGACTGGTATAAATTAATGGCGAAACACAAGGGAACCCAGGTGCTCTGATGCATATTATGATTGGAATTCACTTCTGTTCATCTCCTTTGTCTTCTTTTTTATTTTCACGTCCATATTATTCAAGTTTCCTACCTTCAAAACTACCCACGTGTGTCCAGTAAGGCGGTATAACTTTGAAAAAGAAGAAAAAGAAAAGATACAAAACCCTGGCTTACACATACTACATTCACAAACGTTTCCCACTGATTACTTCACTGTCTCATGGCCCTGATGCCAATTTACCTCTATGGGTAGATATAGTACTCCTGCATTTTCCTAGGTGGTATTTCAGAACTTTTATTAAAAACATAACAATAATTGAAGTCCATTTTCTATTGATCTCTTTAGACGGATCTATATAATCGTTTGCTACAATCAGTACAATCCTAGCTTTGGTGTGTTTTTTATTTCTGTCATTTTGTCTGTGACGTTCCTACGATAGTTTTGCTTTGCGATTGGACAGAAACGTATAGAGCTAAATGTACCTGCGCCTTTTATATTACAAAACAAGGACTCAATTTTCTCTTGGTTCATAGCAGAGAACAACAGAAAAGCCTCCTGTTAAAAAAAATCAACATGATACTGAAACTCATTCTAATCGAAAGCAAACTCGTAATGAACTCTTTATCGTCTATCCCTCTTGTAAAACCTACACAAATCACCAGCTTGTCTTGATCCGATTTCTTGATTTTATAAAGTGTGTTACAGCATGGACTTGGATTGAGTAGTTTCTGTTTAATGACTTCGACAAAGGCGTTTTCTGTCGACCTTAGACTTGGAAAATGTGGAAATGAGATGCTATGAGATTATTGGGACTGATCTGTACCACATTTGATTGTGTAAACAGAAGATCACGCCCTACGGTGTTCAAGGACATTCTTCTAAAGATGCCAAGAGATACTCACAGGAACTCCTCAGAATGGAATACTAGCCCTTGGATTAAAAGAATTATAAAGAGGATAACTACTCCTGTCATCTTGATTGTCAACCCTTGCACATCTATCTCTTTCCCTTGCCCCCGCCTGCATTGTTAAGAGTGCCTGGTTTTATCGAAAGGTTTGCAAGTAACCATATTATTATGACTTTAGCTTTCAACTGAGTAGGCCTAGTTAGAAGATCATAACTTGTGACAACCTCCTCTATTTCCAAACACGCGTATCGGGGTCACACCACATCCTTTTGAGGTCATACATAAAGCGTGCTCATGTGTTTATGTAAACTAACAATATGTCTTATATATTTTCTAAGAAAGGCTCTGGTACATAATTTACTACAAATAATTTTCAATAGGAAATGCTTTCACAAGTTCACACTAACAAAACCGTCTTTGAAAAATTCTTAGTGACGACCATTTATTACATTTTACCTTCCTTTTAGACTATAGAAGACCAATGCTTCACTAATACAATAGCAAATTCTTCAAGTGTCATGATGAGACGCGCATATCTTCACGACGTATTACCTGTCTTCCTTTATAGAAAAAAAATAATATTGTATTAAAAACTGAATGTACAATGCTTGAATATCAAAGGAAGGGTACTATAGGTCACAGGAAACTTTACCTTAGGGTATTCTGTGCTACATTGTCAATCATTTCGTTTGAGTGTAGAATCTTGTTACATTCTTTGAGGGCGCTTATGGCCGCATTGTGATAATAACCCACACCCTACTTTTTCGTTTGAGGTTCATTAAAACTGTTAAATGTATTTGTATCGTCTATGTGACGTGTAGGTGCTGATCGGAACAGAATGAACATATCCTGCAATACAAAAAAAGAATATGAGAGGACAGTTTCTTCAAGATATTTAAGAATTTAAAAGTATAATGTTTTATCTTACGACACGAGTGTGGTTTTAGTTTCAAATTATACCTTCATTACGACAACATGCACTCTTGAAACATGTTGATGTCCATAAAAGAATGCTCTCCAGGAAATTCGGGTCTGCTGGGATAGTAGTATAGATTATAGAGCGCAAAGAGATTGCTGTTGAGCAAGAATTTGTGCCTTGCAAATGTTATTTTTATCATTTAAAAATACCCTATTGTACTTATATGAGATTTTACTGATGTCTATATGTTAGGGGAATTTGCGTATAGCTGCTTTCCATCCTTTCAGGACGACTATAATAACGTTCTCTCTCTCTCTCTCTCTCTCTCTCTCTCTCTCTC